GGGGGGCGGGCGAAGGTCCTTCGACGGCCCTTTCCCGAGCGCCGGGGGCGGCGGATCCACCCCATCCCCCAGGCCCAGCCGCTGGGCCTGCGCCTCCAAGCCCTCCGCCGCCGACCCGAAGCCGTCGGCGCTCGCCATCGCCGCCTTCCGCAGCCCCTCCACCACCGCGATCTCCTGCTCGAGGTAGGAAAGTACCTCGTGGGCCGGGGGCGGGGAGGCGGCCACCTCAAGCCCCCCTCCCTCCCCTTCCGGGGGCGGAAAATCGGGGGCCTCGGGGGCCTCGCGCGGGCCGGGGGCCGGATCCTCCCCCCCTCCCCCCGCCTCCCCCGGCGGGCGCGAAAGAGCCCGGTCCCGGGCCCGGGCGTCCGCGGGGGTGGGGGAGACCGCGGCGGTGTATTGACAGGCGAGGGTCTGCGCCTCGTCGATCAGCGCCTCGAGGCGAGGGAGGGAGCTGGGGTGGTCCCGCAGCCGGGCCTCGAGCTGGCGGCGGCGCGATTGGAGCTGGCGAAGCTGCTCGCGCATGCGGGACTCGATCGCCTGCTCGGCGCGGCGCAAATGCTGCGAGAGGGTCGCGATATCCCCCTGCATCTTGACCAGCCGGGCCTCCTCGACCGCCTTCTGCTGCTCGACCAAGCTGAGATGGGCCGCGAGCTTGGCCTTCTGCCGCTTGACGGCGTCCATCTTGCGCATGATCCCGTTGGTGATGTTCTCCTGGCGGCGCTCGACCAACATGTAGGTCTCGTTCATGCCCTCCCGCAGGGCGGCGTAGGCCTCGCGGGCCCGCAGGATCCCCGTCTTGGCGACCCGGTTCCCCGTGTGGAGCTCCCCCACCGCCTGGCGGAGCTCCTTGAGCGACATCCCCTCCGCCTCCATCTCGTAGTGGTCCGGCGAGGGCTGGAACGGGATCGGGTCCTCGCGCGGGGTGCAGACGGTGGTGGTGGGCAAACTCGCGCCGGCGAAGGACCGGTCCTGCTCGAAAAGCCCCGCAATCAACGGCGGGGCGGGGGCCGGGGGCTGAAAAGAGGAAATCGCGGGCGCCGTCTGCAGGCGCTCCCGGCTCCCCCCGCGCTGTGGAAGCGCGCGCTGCGAGGACGGCGCCG